TATCTCCGTATAAATCTCGGAGTTTATCCCAAATTTCTTTTGGGGTGCTGCAGTTGATCAAATTTGGATGTAAAACTCTCTCCACCGAGCTTAGTAGCTTTTTCATCAATTTTTTGTAATCGTCGGGCTTAGTTTCTTATCAGGTTCAGTTTCCTCACCATTGACCAGACCTGTTAGCTCTTTTGCCTGTAAAAGAAACCGGACACCAAAATTTCACATAGAATAATTGGTTCCATCAAGTTTTGTCAACTCGGTCAGCCATGATTAAAAAATCACTTACTTTGCACTGTTACACAAAAAAACACTGCAATAACTTTGAACTGTTGCTGAATAGTAACTCGCAAGTGAATCAAATCGATGACTTTCTGCCAAAGTATCGTAAGCAACATAACTAAAATTTCGGGAATCGAAAACATTTTTTGTCTTAAAGACTGTTTCAAATTAAATATTGCCTAAAGGTTTTATAACAAGTAAATAGCTTATAATTATAGCTATTTACTTGTTATAAAACCTATAGGTTATATATGGGTTAAAACAGATTTTAAAATAAAAAATGTTTTCAATTCCCGAAATTTGAGTTATGTTGCTTACGATACTTTGGCAGAAAGTCATCGATATGTCTCATGGACTTGTAGGAAAAATATATACAAATCGGATGTGACTCATGGGACAGTGTTAAAACCGTCTTAAAAGTATTTTTATGGATAGTTTAAAGCACGTTTAAACTATGTAACAATAAACGAATCCAACAAAAAAATCTTTTCATAAAAATAATGATAATTTCCTATGGTTTTCTTATTTTAACAAGATTTTGTTTTAATTTATGTTTTTATAATTTTCTACAAAAGGGCTTTAACCTAGATATTTTACTATTTTAAAAATACATTAGTGTTTGTTTAATGCAAATCTGTTTATAACGAACTTCCGGATAATACAATGATGATTTTGTATGTATTATGGCAAAAGTTGTCGGAATCTACCTGAGAAACAAGAGACTTATTGGTTACATAACATATGTTAACATGTTAACACAACCAATAAGTCTCTTGTTTCTTGTTTCAATAAAGTTGATTGTTTATTACAAGTTTGTCATATTGAACTACATACAGTGTGTCGCACTTAAGATGAAGACACCCCCATATTTTCGCTATTTGAAGGAATAAAGGTTTGAATTTTTTCACATTCATACATGTTGATGGGTCACATTTTTTAAGCTACTCAACTGAAATCTGAACTTTAAACTTGGCCTACTACAAATTCACAAACAGGGCCAGTTCTCGATATTTTGCTTCGCGTTAGAGATATCGAAAAAAGTTATTAGAAAAAGTTGTTCAGAATATTATTCTAACCCCATATACCAATTTTTATAACAAAATTCGCATTTTTAATTTTTTTTTATTTTGGTCCACACAAAATTATTACGAGTTCATTTTTTAGTTTGATAATAAGGGAGCCATGGAAAGTAATAATTTGATACTAACTAGTGTTTATGACCGTTAAATAAATAATTAAAACAATTTTTGGAAATTACAAATCAATTATAATTTATTAAATTAAGGAAATGGTATAAAACACAGACCACATAGACTGAACGTAAGGGCGATGCAGTTGAAGCCGGGTAGAGCCCTATAGAGGCCCAGCGATCGCGATTTATCTCAGTTATAAATCGACTACCGTGCTGTTCACGTCGTGATATTTTTTGTATTTATTTAAAAAACATGGGTAAATGTGTAGTGATAGGATGTGAAAATAGAACTGAGACCAAATACGACGAAAAAAATTATGTTAATTTCTTTATGTAAGAAGAAATTAAAAATATAAAATTGCTGAAATCGCGCTCTCCTCCGCTATTAAATTGGCTTGCGTCGAGGAAAATCAGAGTTGAATTAGTAAATTTCGAGCCCAATTAATTTCGAAAAGAGGTCTTTTTGTGAATGCTTACCATTGTTTGTTGTATTTCATGTTTTTTTATGTCATTTAGGTATATTTAAAATTCGTCGAGGAATATAAATACTAAATATATTAAACTTTTCATGTAATAATAAAGTTTTCATTCACTAAAAATATTCATTATTAATTGTAGTTTCATTGTTTTTATAAATAAATTGATTCATTGTTTTTGTAAATAAATTTATTTTTCCTAAAGATCTTTATTAAAAATAACTATAAAAATTTATTAACTCAATATTATTAGTTTGAAAGACATTTAAAATTTCAATATATTTTCTTTTCTTTATTGATTTCGTAAATTATTCATTCAGGCAAATGGGTTTTGCAAATCTGTACCTCAGAGGTAAACTGTAGTAAGTCCAATATTATCGAAAATGAGATAGTTATAAAAAAATTACTTAGTACTTCGTTACCCACTAGTCAAGTAATCATAGATATTAATATTTAAAAACTAATGTCATGATGATCAGTTATTAAATGTAAGAACTAGAAATAATTATGAGTTTTAAAACATTTTTGACTTCTCCTGAACAATTTACTTAATACACTTTACCTCTGAGGTACAGGGTGATCCCCTATAACTTTAACTTTTTTATTTTAAGTGTCCCAAAAAATTTAAAAGTGTGGTTATGTAGGTACTAAAAAATACTTTTTTCTATGTATAAGAAAATTGGAAAATTGATCAGTATACAGGGAAAAACAAAAAGTTTATATTTTTTCAATGTATATATAGGGTGATCTATGGATCACCCTATATATGTATTAATTTTTCGATTCCTTGTAAAATTCTAAGCATAATTCAAATAACATACCATTTAGGTCTAAATTCAACCGTTTCTGAAATATTTAAAATATGATTAAAACATTTTTAACAATTGCAAAATTACTAAGCGCCAACTTTTAAATAAAGCCCTTTTGGTTAAAGGACAATAATAATAATATTTAAAATTATTAAAATATGTATTACCTAAATAAAATAAATTTTTAATTTATTAATATTTGGTTTTATTTAAAAATTTATGAACAACAAAATTTGTTTATTTAAAATGTTTAAATATATCGTTTGATATTTTAACTTATTATTATTGTGTAAATTATTTTGCATTTATCTGATCATTATAAATAATAACAATACTAATTATAATTATTATATTAATAATGTATAAATATCACTTATTTAATATAAAAATATTATAAATAAAACTCTTCTACGAGACATAAATCGTAAATAAACTGAAGACAGCTCTGGTGAAAACATAGCCACGCCTTTCGCACGCCTTTCCCCGCACTCCGCGAAAGCGGCTTCACTTGATTCAATGATATGGAATAGGCATCGTTCAGTCTATGTGGTCTGTGGTATAAAACAATAATAAAACTAATAAAAATAAATAAATTAGAAATGCGAATTTTGCCATGAAAATCGGTATACGAGGTTAGAATAATATTCTGAACAACCTTTTCTAATAATTTTTTTCGATATTTCTAACGCGAAGCAAAATATCGACAACTGGCCCCGTTTGTGAATTCGTAGTAGGCCAAGTTTAAAGTTCAGATTTCAGTTGAGTATCTTAAAAAATGTGACCCACCAACATGTATGAATGTGAAAAAATTCAAATCTCTATTCCTTGAAATAGCGAAAATATGGGGGTGTCTTCATCTTAAATGCGACACACTGTATATTGTGCATCATAAATGTTTGTAAATATGTAATATTTCATTTAATATTAATATGTACGAGGTGTGTTCAGAAAATAACGGGAATTGTTAAATTTCGCGGCTTCGGAGGGTCCGGTTGTCATAAAATTTTATTTATTATGTTGGTATACATGCCCCCGAAGTATGATAAAAACTTTAGCTGTTTTCATTGTTTACTTTGTCAGTGGCAGCCGCTAAGGTTAGACGTGTTTTATGAGCTCGACGATTTTCGTTCGTTAAATGAGATGGTCTTTGATCCATTTTGCTTAAAAAATGAAATAAATTTTGTGAAATGTTAACAAAGGCCTATAGTGAGTCTGCTATAAGTAAAACAAGAGTTTACAAGTGGTATAAAAGTTTCCAAGATGGCCGTGAAGACGTTGAAGATGACGAACGCCCCGAACGCACAAGCACATTGACAACCGATAAAAACATGGAAAAAGTGGAAGAAATGGTTATAAACCATCAGAGAAGTCGCTGATGATGTTGGTATATCGATTGGCTCATCCCATGAAATTTTTGCAAATGTTTTGGGTATGAAACGCGAAACAGCGAAATTTGTTCCAAAATTGTTAAATTTTGAACAAAATTTTTGGCCATAAACAATACTGTAATGATACCCCAGCCTCCATATTCACCAGACATGCCTCTGTCTGACTTTTTCCTATTCCCAAAAATAAAGAGAACCTTAAAGGGCTGTCGTTTTGCAAGCATAGATAACATTAAAAGCGCATCGCGCATGAAAGAACTAAAGGCTATCTCAAAGATCGAGTTTTAGAAGTGTTTCGAGTATTGGAAGAAGAGCTGGCACATGTGCATAATATCCAATGGGGACTATTTTGAAGGCGACAACATTAATGTAGACGAATAAATAATTATTTGTTTCAAAAAACGAAAATTCCCGATATTTTCTGAATACACCTCGTATTTTTAGAATTATTTTTTATTATAATTTTATGTTTTAGAGCTGCATTGGTATTTTTTTAATAAAATACAAAATTAAATACATCCATAATAGCGAACATCAAACTTTTTTTCTTCTTTTTTTATTTTTGTATTTTAATGTTTTCAGGCAAGTTGTTAAAATAGTAGGAATAAAAACAAATTTTTAATGATAATTCAAAACTAAAAAGTTATTATTATTATAACTTAAAATATAATAACAAAATGTATAATTTAAAATTATTATTAAAATAACATTTTTATGAAAAATTATTAATTTTCACAAAAACTATTTTGTAATTTTTTTCTTCATTGTTTCCACTATTAGGAAATTAACTTGATTTTTATGTTTTCCATAAAAGTGAGGTTATTTTTAGTGAATTAATTTTCATTCATTAATCAAAACATCTTACCCTAAAGTCCTGGAACAGAGTGTTCCACAGCTCCCACTGATTCAAATTGTGACAAGCATAGAACATGGACAACTTCTTCAAAGAGCTGACCACGTTGAAAATCTCGTCCTGATTGGGCGTCTCCTCGCCCAGCAACAGCGTGCGCCAATCGTCGATGGCCTCCTTGTACGCGCTCACCATCACGTCGATGATGGTCGATCTGGCTACGTCGCACTTCGTGTAGATAGAGTGTCCTTCTAGACTAAGGATTTCTAAAGTCTTTGCCAGGGTTTCCAGGACCTAAGAAACAAATTAACACGAGTTATATTCGTTTCACTAATGAAAAATATCAAATGAAAGCGAAGATAAGGAAAATAAAACGGTAAATTAGCAAATTTTATGTATTTTATTTTTACCTCTGGTTCGTGGTGGACCTGCGCAATGTGCTTAATTTTGGCCAGCAGGGCTTGCAGGTTGCCTTCCTGTCTACCACTAGTATACAAATCTAGATCAAAATGTTGTGGAATACTTAGTAAGTTGGCCAGTTTTTCAGGATCGGCCGAATATTTTTCCAGCAATGGTGGAAGAGATATTATAAAATGTTCCGTTAGTTTTTGTTTGTCTTCTCCAGCCTGAAATAGTTTTACAAAAATGATATCATTTAAACATGATAATATTATTTTTTATGTAAGCTTTACAAAAGAATTATTAAATAATCCACCAAATAAATTTAGAAAAATATAGGTCATATTAAAGTTACTCAATAAAATATTTAAAAATAAAGATAGTCCAAATTTTAGAAATAGGATTTCTCTTTCTGGAATTTTTTGACAAATCTTTTTCATAGAGAATTATTTATATGAAAACTTGTTTTTTACTATTAAGAGCCCATTGGGAAAGAAACCTTACAAAATATTGCTGCAATGTTCGCCGACTTTACAAATAAAATATTTCCTGTGCTACTTGCATTAACATAAATGAAATGTTACATTTGAAATATTGCATATAATAATTTCCAACAACCTTAAATTTGAAACATTATTTAAAAATTCACATGGAAAGTTTTTACAATGTTATAATTGTAACATTTAGTATAAAATGTTGCATACAAGTTTTTAAACATTACAATTATAATATTGTAGACATAACTTTTTTCAATGTTTCAATTGAAATATTAACACAAGTTACAAATGAAAAATGTTTGCAACTTTACTTTAAATATACAATAGAAACATTTATTTTGGAATGTTTGGGAATATTTTTGAAACATTGCAATTATAATATTACATTGATAAATTTTGGGCAATGTTTCATCCGAAATATTACATTAAGATGATTTTTGCAATGTTACTTTATATATATATTAACATTTAATTTGCAAGATTTTTGGAACATTGCAATTATAATATTACATTGATAAGTTTTGGGCAATGTTTCATCCGAAATATTACATTAAGATGATTTTTGCAATGTTGCTTTATATAAACAATATAAACATTTAATTTGCAAGATTTTTGGAACATTGTAACTATAATATTACATTTATAATTATAACTTTAGTTTGGGACTATGTTACATCCGAAATATTGCATTAAGATAATTTTTGCAATGTTACTTTATATAAACAATATAAACATTTAATTTGAAAGATTTTTGAAACATTGCAATTATAATATTACATTGATAAGTTTTGGGCAATGTTTCATCCAAAATATTACATTAAGATAATTTTTGCAATGTTGCTTTATATAAACAATATAAACATTTAATTTGCAAGATTTTTGGATAATATTACATTTATAATTATAACTTTAGTTTTGGACTATGTTTCATCCGAAATATTGCATTAAGATAATTTTTGCAATGTTGTTTGCAGACTGACTTGCCGATGCATCTCGCCGCTGTCTTGGTCATTTATATCTTTATAAGTAAACAGTGACGAGCTTGATGCGTGTCTCCCGCATAGATGACCGAAGGTCTCCCGTCACCTACTGCCTGACACTGATGAGACCAAACAGGTCGAAACAGTCTGTCTGTCAGTGTTGGTGGGTATGGTGTAGAGGTGGGAAGTTTAGTTCACTTTCCTGATTTCGATCTTTCGATCTCGTTCATTAAAGTGAATAGTACAAAAGACTAGTTCGTTTAGTTCACTGATTTATAATCGGATTTGTCGGATTTACGTAGTTTCGTTCGCGAACTACACTTCTCTAGTAGTTCAAGTGAACTATATTGAGATTGATTGATTGATTTGCACCAAAGATGTGTTCTTGGAATTGTTGCTGGTCAAAATGGTACGCTGTTGCCAAGACCATTAAGTGGTTGATTTGGTTGCCTATTTTAGGGACAATTACGAATTTGCGTGAAAAAAAATCCATTAGTAAATACGGATATAATGAAATATATCTACGGATTTTTAGTTTAGTTCGAATTGATTCGCTCTTTTTAGTTTTGGTGATTGAATCTTTTAGTTCAGTTACGAAATTCGATCTTTTGAACTAGTTCGTTCGCGAACTACACACCTCTAGTATGGTGCATTAGTCATTGGACCATACCATTCGAGAGACGCGCTTCGAGCTCGGCTCGGTGGCGAGATGGGAAGGCAATATTGGTTGCCTACTACTGGCGTAAAGTAGAAAACCTATTGTTTTTGATATATATATTTATATATATAGCTACGGATAAATAATTATAATTAATTATTATTATAATAATTCATATTAATTTAATTGCAATGTTCCTGTAATGTTGAAGGAACCTTTCATTAACAAAAATAACATTTAGTAACATTGCAATTAATACATTTAAGCAACATTTTATTTGTAAATGTAATGTTCCTGAGCCGGACATAAGGCTTTGTTGCAATGTTCCTGCAACATTGCCACAAGGATTTTTGTAACATCTAACAAATGTAACGTTCAGTAACATTGTAGAAATATTATTTTTCCCAGTGGGAGGGGTTTAAAAAAATTATATTTTATCTGTATCTGTAAAACCTATTCAGATAATACTGCCATGCTTAACTAAAACCCTGTATCATTAATAAAGTAAAAAATAAAATGTCCTTTTGTCCTTTTTTAATATCAGGGTGGAAGAAGAGGGTGATATAGCTCCTATCTCTACAGTACAGAAGCAAGCGTCCAGATAAGTCAGTATTTCGTTCGTTGTTTGTTAACCTTTATAATTTGTGGTTCGTTAGATGGCGAGTCAACTAAGAACCTAAGTTTTTACCAACAAAATCCATATATTCTATGACAACTTAACTTTTAACAACAAATTATAAGATAACGAAGACCCTGTAGTATTGCCAACTGTTCTTCCAAAATGCACAGTCGCCAAAAATGCACAAAAGTGACGCTGAAATGGTTTTATTTGAATTTTAATTAAGCTTAGTGGTCTATTCTTTGAAGTTAATCAATGCAATTTTACTAAAAATGGGAAAAGTTTGTTGTGCACCGGGATTAAAACAGGTTCCACTTCAATGCGCCATCTATTCAGACTTTTAACAAATACTGAGTTATTTGGCCGCGTTCCGGGATAGAGATGTATCACCTCCTTCTTCCACCCTGATTTATTAATTATTTATTAAATTAATATATATTATAGTATATACTATGCTCCACACATCCACGTGACTTTGATAGAAATATTTAAGGTTAATTTTCTGCAAGTGTCAAACTAATTTCGTCTTATTTTCTAAAAATAATAAGATATATGTATTTATCTTAGAGCGTTGTATAATTTAAGCATTATTATTGTCAACGCTCACTACCAAAGTATTAGATTATCTCCTAGCCTTTAAAAATAATTTAAACCAATCAGGTGAAGTTTTTTACACCCTAGTCTGTATAAAACCCGTTAGGAACAATTAACAAATTTGATAACTGGTGACATCTCTGAGTTTAACGAATAAAACTGTGCCTTGAAGATAAAATGTTGTATGCCATTCGGCTGAAACATGTCTTTTTGTGCTTCGCTTAATTGTAGGCCTCCGCTAACCGACACTCAGCACATAAAGACACACTGCTCAGCCTTATGACATAAATAACTATTTTTTTGTTCTAAATTAAGACCTTTGTAGACAAAAAATACATAAATAGCATTATTTTCAGAAAATGGACAAAATTACCTTTACAATGAATCAGTGTCCCCGACAGAAAATTAACCTTAATTATTTGTATCAGTCACCTGGAGGGACTGATGTGTGGACAATACTGCCGTCCTAAGCGCAGAAGCGGTAACTGCACATTTAAAGGAAATTGACATTTTTCCGTAATATGAACCTAGGGTTAAAAATCTCTACTTTAATAAGGTATTAAATCGGTATTTTGTCAGTAAATGATTGAAATATCAAGTTATTTTTAGCGGTGTCTGTTACCAAACTGAGTTGGCAGAGCTATGAAGTTAATAGTATTAACATAAAAGTACCATAGTATTAACATAAAAGTACCAATATCTCATGACAGCCATTATGTTAATTACCGCTTCATAGAGAGGTGTGACTTAGCAGACAGAATACCCCTGTTATTTTACTAAAAAGGATTTTCTGAAAATGTATACAAAATGGCATTTTAATTTATAAAGTGCTCTTTTAGTTCCACCCTTACTTCCCAGATGTATTAATATAAATAAAAGTTTTGATTGGCCCGATTAATAGTGGATTTATGCAGCACAATTTAACATTAAGATTAATTTAACATTAATAGGAGGGTATTTATGCAGCAAAATTAGTATGCGTATAAGTTAAAGTAATTTTGACATTTGACATTTTTGGTTTGTTTGAATTTTGTTTTAATCCCGTTTTAGCATCTGTTAAGTAAAATAAATGAAAACTATAAACTCCACGTCAAACAATAAACCAAAGAACACAATTATTGAATAAAAAATCAATCATTCAGCAGTAAGTTTCACTTTATTTTCGGGTATGTTGGCATTACTGACACGGTTTATTTAAAAATTGCGCCGCAAACCTGCGCAGAAGAAATAAAAATTAACATTATCATTAAGAAGATAAAACTTCATCTATCCCTTATCAATTAAAAAATTGTGTGAGCATCTACTTCTTTAAATCTTAATACTCTGTAGTGTTTTTTTCTTCAAATATTAGCCAAATGTTAACTTAATGTTAATTTGTGCTGCATAAATCCAGCATAACAAAGTAATTTACCATTTTTATTTTGCGTTTAAAAAAATGTTACCCAATAAAAATTTCGATAAAAGACGATGCATAAATGAGGTCTGTCAGAGCAAAGTCAACAATCTCCCGTCAGACTAAAACTAAGAAAATTGAGATAATTGATTTTGGTATTTTAAATTCTAGATTTGTAATTTTTTTTATATATTATATTGAAATAATGTTTTTGTTAGTTTAGTTGCCAACTACAAGGTCTCCAGGATGCATAGTATAGGTGAAATCTATAATTGGACGCCTTTCTGCAGAAAGGAACCAACCCACAAAACCAAAAAAATCGAGATATTTAGCCTATGAACTAATTAAGTATGTATAATTTATCTGCAAAATAGGTCATAGCCAAAATGCAAGTGTAGTGAAATCTTTTAATCATTGAACCAACCAACATTCAATAATAGTGTGGATTACTAATCCAGAATTAGAATCTGTAGAATATCTGCAAGTGTGTTGGATCTTTTTTGTAAAAAAGCAGGCTGGTAGACCCACTACCGAAGTCTTTAAAGATTTCCTGCTTCTGCAAAATATAAACTCTTGATGCATTTTTTTGGTAGCTTACAAGATGAGGTGGGGTTGGAAGATGATGTGGACGAATTTCAAATAGAATCAAAATTAATTCATATTACCATTATAATAGTAATATCAGTTGTATTTTGTTTGGAAATAAATAATTGTCGCTTTTCTTTAAATACATACATACATCAGATAGTAGTTTTCATTAATTGCAGAAAGGAACCAACCAACAAAAGCCCATTTTTTTCGTCACCCTTACACATAACATCACAAAATCCACCTGATGAAATTATTAAATTATATCCCTTAAACCTCCGTAAGTCCAAAATCGACATAAAATTAACAGGTAATTTTAAAATTATTAAAATATTTTATAGCTTTTTTCTCAGTTTCATCATGGTGTGGGTTGGTCCCATTCTGCAGAAAGCCGTCCAATTATAAATTGGAGATTGCTTACTTTGATATGAATTGCTGGAGATTGCTCATTTTGTTGTAAACGTTTAAGGAGATTTAGAAAAATAAACAAAAAAATAATTGTATTTTTCTTCCTTTAATGGTTATAAATTACTAGAGATGGGAATCGGAAAGTTTCCATTTTAAGGAAACTTTCCGTTTTGGAAAGTTTCCAATTGGGAATTTATTTTCATTTTGAAAGTTTCTTTTAAGCTACCAGAAACATTCCTTTGAAACATTCCTTGGAAACTTTCCTTGTTTTTTCATTTAAATTTCAATTGTTTAACCGCTGAGTTTCGTTAAGGCCATGATACAAGGCCAAGAAACTTTGAATAAGAATTAAATGTGTGTTAATTTAAAGCAGAAGAAGAAGTATAAATAATGTAAGTTATGTTACATAACCTCAATGAAGCCAAATTATTCAGCATCATCACAAAAAACTTTTTGTTATATAATAGGAATATTCCAAAGTAAAAGATACTAAAAATAGTAGGTTGCAGTTACATTCTTATAAACATTTTTTTTATTTTTTTTCTTAATAAAATTTGACAAAAAGTTAATGTGTTATATATTTTTGCAAATCCCTGGCATAAAAAAAAATATTTTCGCAATAAATTTTTTTTTTTTTGAAACTTTCGGGAATTTTCGATAGAAAGTTTCCGGGAATTTTCGTCAAATGGGAATTTTCCCATCTCTATAAATTACTATACAATCAATGTGGGAAAATTTTGAACTGGACCTCATAAATCTGGATTTTCTTCTAAATCTGGGACCAGGTTGCCTCGTGCAAAAATTTTTTTATAGTACAACTCATCATCTCCTTCCCACTTTGCCCCATAATGTTTTACTTGCAATGTTTTGACATTATCAGCCTTTTCTTGCTTTACCTTTTCGTCTTATTATGGTATAATAGCACAAAATAAATAAGACTTTTTTAATAATTCTTAAAACACCTATTTTAAATATATTTTTTAGGTGCAATTTATTGCAATAGAACTTAACAGTATGTACCAGTAAAAAAACACAAAATTAAATCTCTAAAATACGTTATAACATCAAATGTTAGGATATCAGGTGACACAAATTACTAATTTCTAATGGTGGAATTGGAGATTGTATACTTTGCTGCAAATCTATTAGTGGAGATTGTCGACTTTGCACTAAATGTCATTTTTAAAATAGGATTTTAGGCAGGATTTAGCTCCTTTTGCAGCACATAAACTTTATCATCTTATAGATAATTAGTTGAAGTATAGTCTCCGCCAAAAATCTAATTTTTGACCAAAAGTGGAGTTTGTCGGTTTTGCTATGACAGGCCTCAAATATGCAGCAGATTATATGCTGCCTACTTAATTTTTAACAATATTTGTTTGGTTTAAAAAGGTTTAAGCATTAATACAAAACAAAAAAAAATGACAAACCAAAGTTGCGAAATTTTTTAGATTTCTTTGCACAGCATTGGTAAATTGATTAATCAAGTCATGGTAATCTGTAATATTTAGGTATTTTTAAAACTTAATTCAAGACTTGATAAAAAGATAATTAAATGCTATGCTGGATCAACGTTGTTGTAAGTGCCAGAAATCAAAACTGTTCCTTGTGAGCTGCTTTTAAATAAAAGTACAATAAAAATAATAAAAATGTATGCTTCTGTGCGAATATTCTTATACGACGCAGGTATGTGCGCGCGCCATTTTCGTTTCATCTTTCGTAACGCCACGTTTTGGTTTACCCTGTCCGCAAAGAAGAGAAAATTCTTGTTTAGAAAACACAATACAAAATAATAAATTTAGATGCTTTTGACTTTATCTACATTCTTTAATTATTTATACTTTACAAATCTAACTCACCAGCCTTGTTTCCCTATTAGATGAGGACTTTCTAGTGGGCCCTCTCCCAACAGGAGCATCCCCAGTGGCAGCCTGCTTGACGCAACAAACCATAATTTCGATTAGGCTCGTCTCTTGCCTATTATCCAACGGTTCTTCGTGCGGCCCGGGCTCCTCCAACAACAAATCTGTCATGCACTCCCAATCCTTCATCATGTTGTTGGACTCGATGAGGGAGTCCACCAAGTAGGCGGCATGCTCGTGCAACTCGGATTCAATGAAAAATTGCACCAGATCTCTTATAAACGGAGTGTTCGGCAGTCTGCGTTTGCCGCGTTTGGTTTTTCCCGCGTCCATGTCGCCAGGTTGGAACAGTCTTTCGTTTAAAAATTCGCCGGCCGCTTGGGCAACCGCTCTGTGCGATGAATATACCTTGAAAATGACATCATAGTAAAACTTTTGGTTTTTATATTTTTTAGAAACTTTAGTTTTTTGCACATTTTTAAGAATTTTAAGCACTAATAAAGGGTATCTCAAAATGGCGCAGAGAAGGTAACTTTAAGTACACAAGATATTTTTAGCGAGTAATTTTTTAAATATACCGTATTTAGTTAAATTAAATAATAATAAATTTCCGATGGTGATAAAATAAACAGTGCTTGCAAATCCAAGTCCGACCGGGTTGGGAAGGACGGTTGATCAGTACCCGCGTGAAAATAACAAGGATAGAACGCCAAACAGATGGTGATAGCCTGCCGGCTCTGACCAACGAATTTTTGTTTGGCGTTCTATCCTTGTTCTTTTCAAGCGGGTATTGAACAACCGTCCTTCCCAACCCGGTCGGACTTGGATTTGCAAGCAATGTATATACAGAGTGTCCCCAGATAAGTGAAACGTTAAAAATATCACAGCAAACGGAAAATTATAGAAGTGTCTAGTCAGTTAAGCGTTCAATCACATTTGAAAACTTCAACTGTCCCAACCCTACTTACATACAGTCATATGCAAATAAAAAGCGTACAGAATGGGAGGTACTGCACTTATCAAATATGGCGAGTTAGGTTATAAAAAATACAGTGCCGTAGATGTAAACTAGCCGTCAGTTTGACAGCTAATTGAATAATGCCTTGTCAGTTATCTGAATTTGAAAAAACTCGTATAATTACAATTGAAGTACCTCTCATTTTAATATGTATTTTAGGGTTGGGATTTTGACCGGTCAAAAACTTTAGTGGTCAATTGACTAAGCACCGGTCAAATTCCTTAGTTTTTTCTAAAGAAATGAAGGCATGAGTAAAATTACTTAATTTTAAATAGAAACGTATATTTATTGAAAAACAACTAACAAAAAATAAAGAAACCATTCTTAGGTACAAAAAAAAACATTCAACAGCAGCCCAGCAGAGAAGACCTGAAGATGGTACATGATATTCTTTTAAGAACCAACAACCGACAACACGGTGCCAGCATGTGTAGATAATGGCACATCATCCTCTTCACTGAACCCACCCTTGCCATTGTCTGTACTCTCTTAAAATTAATTAGTCAAAAATGACCCAGAACACTATTTAAAAAGCATTATTATGATTGCACCATGGTCCACTACCGAACATTTTTTTAATACTTTTGATATTTTCCGCTAGGTAGCGCCGCCGCCGCGCGCGGTTGAATTAAAAGTTTTTGACCGATTTTGACATGGTTAAAATGTCTCCTGTCAAAATAGGTAAAAATCTCGGTCAATTGACCAGGCACAACCCTATGTACTTTTTATTTGCATTTAATAATTTAATTTAAAAAGGACAATTTAAAAAATAAAATATACATTATTTCCAATGTGTTTTCAGCAATATAATAATTTATTACAATAAATTAATTTAGCCGTGTCTTCAAAAAACGGTTAGTCATTAAAAACAAACAAAAAAAGGTTAAAGTAGATAGATAAAACTAGTCTTTATAATGGACGCTTCTGACGAAATGGCGGCAATTTTTTTTAATTATTTTTTTGAACCCAAAACGAGTCAAAATGTTGATAGGAGCAAGCCTTCATAAATTTATGGAACAAGTCTTATGTTAAGTTCTTATTTCAGCACAGACCCAAATACAAGCAAAAATTACTCACCAGCTCATACACATGTTCACAATCCTTGTCAGTAAGAATATCTTGATGGTGTTTTAAAATAGAAATCACCAATCTGACAGCCTGTACAGCAACATCATACTCCTTATCCAAAGTCATAGCAACAATCCTGTCCTTGAACTTGTTGGTGAACAATTCCAGCTTTCCTTTAAGCTCCTCACTGGCATACAAAGGCTGTAATGCCTGCAGACATCTCAACCTTACCTCACCAACTTTATCATGAAGTGTCCACCCTATGTACTTCAAGTAAGAGTCATCAAGGAAGTTTGCATGAAATTTGTGCATCCAAACACCAATTTCTGTCATTGCTATTGCTCTTATTTCAGGCAAGGTGTCCCTGTATCTGTGCACAAAAACAGACTTAAACATGTAAGTCAACATGTTCTTAATTTCATCCATGTTTTCCTCCAACTCTTGTCTTTTACCCAGAAGAGTTTCCAGCCTGTCGCTGGAACGTTTTTCTCTGGTTTTTTGCCTTTCAGACTCATACTGTCTTTGGGTGTTGTCCAAATTTACAGAGACTGTTAAAGCAACATCCACTAGAGCAGTCATTAATTTCATTGCCCCCAAGGTGGCTGTATGTCTAAATGCTCTTACTTGGGAATCAGACAAACCAGTTAATAGTGAAATAACATTATCCATCAAAAACTGATCATAAATAATTGAGTATTGGCACTGTTTCACCAACGTTTGCACAAAGTCACAGAAATTCTGTCTGAATTTCTTCCACATCTGACCAGCCATAATAAGAGGGTATTCTCCTGAATCTTCATCAAATTCTTCAGTCATCTTACGAATTATTGCAACATGTTCCATGGTGGCTTGCATTTGTTGGGTAATTCTCCCCTTACATCCAGCTGCATTTATAAAAAATTGCATCAAAGATATTAGAGCAGCCTCTCTGTTGGCTTTATAGTTCTCTATCCAGTCATCAACAATATTTGTTAGCGAGGTTTTGCTGTTTTTAATTATGGTGTACAAAGAATCATCATGAATACCACCATCTACATTGTTCTTACGTCCTGGAGGCCTCCCTCTGCCTCTACCCCTACCTGTTGTAGTTGTGGTAGTACTTGTAGGAGAGAAAGATGGCGAAACAACAGGCGGTGGAGGGTTTGTAACGCCCCTAGCCCTTGCCCTCGTAACTCTACGCATACCAGGAGTAGGTGGTGATTCAAACATATCTGGGACTTGGTTGCTGTGATCTCCATAGTGGTCCTGGTACATATTTTGTCCATATGCTCCATAGTGGTCGGTTTCCACTTGCGGAGTCATTGGGTTATCGTACTCCGGAGGAGGTTCGTCCATACGAATTCGCTTGCCGCCCCGGCGATGCATTTTGGGGCCTAAAAATTCTAATTAGATAAATGAAATACCAGCTAAAATACAATATAACTTGCGTTTTATTGCTCCTTAGTAAATAAATGTATTATTTTTATCACAGATTTACATTAAACTGAAAACATCAACACACCCGCCATTCACTTATAAACAAAGTTTATTATGTTGGCAGCCACAATCGGATTGTGACAATCCATGGATTGTGATTGGCAGCAGTGATAATCAATGTTACCAGTGGTAGAACCTATATAAATTAAAGTCACTAAAAAAATAGAACTAGGCGATTGGGGTTGCCAATTTGGCAACATTTAAAACATGGGAAATTGAGAAAACCATCCTCTAAATTGCATAAATTAAGTCTTTTTTTTTCACCACCAGCGGCGCTGATTGTGGATGCGTAATGACGACTGCTCTTTTGGTAGCGTTTCGGTACAAATTGGTCAATTATTTCAGAACAAACGGAACACCAGCGCCCCCTTATCTTAGGAAGTTTCTTCTGATTAAAAATTTAAAATATTAGGTGGATGATTGACGCGTTTGTTTTTTGTTTTCACAAAGTTGGTATATTTGTTATGGTATGGTTCAACCAACGGTGTTCTTTAGTCTCCCTTTGTGGATTGTGGGTATCTTATTCAATTTTAAAATTCGCCGTGACTAGAAGTACACCGGGAGTACGGGCATTAAAAGTACATCAGGTTTGTGCGCATGCGTGTTTCCATAACCTGATGGTAAAATTTCGGATTTATTAGTTGACATTAAATTGGTAAAGAGCTGGTTAACTAGTTAACCAGCTCTTGATATTATTTATGTAATTATTAAGCTAACTTTCAAGTTGTATAAACATTGATTAAAATTTAATTAAGTGATTGAAATACCTACAATTAACAACAAAATTAATGAAATGTCAGTATGAATTACCCAAACCAACCCAAACTCAACAACCCAACCCAACCGACCCCGCCCCATTGGGCCCCCCGCCCCATTGAGCGCGAAATTGAGCGACCATTTAATATTATACAATTGACAAATATGCTAAATAAGGATTTTCACCCGGTGTACTTTTAATAGCGGTACTCCCGGTGTACTTCTAGTCACTTTGTTTAAAATTTGATGGCAGCCATGATGTATTATAAATCATAATTTATCTTTGAATAAAAAAAAGTAATTTATGATGGCAGCCATAAAAAACTGTCAGAATATTTTTGGATTGCGATTCCGAAAATCATGGAGGCCAGGTTCGAAAGAAAAAATGCAACAATGATAAGATTAATTTGACAGATGGCCTAACCTCAAATATAAAGACATTACAGAGCACCTGTAGGCATAGATAAGTTATCTATGCCCTTGGTTTAGTAGACCAAGATCTATGCCTAGTGTAATGCGTGCTTTGCAGGGGTCTTTCACAAAACTAGTTTTGTGGGGTCTTTATATATATTTGAGGTTGGGTCATCTGTCAAATTAATCTTTTCTAAGGAGTCAATCAGGGTGGAGTCAATCCATATGAAAACGCCGAAACTCGTCGCTCGACCATCTTGGATTTTGCTCAAAAGAACAAAATCCACCCTTATTTAATTTTTCACATGTGTCAAATCCGGCCTATTCGAATTAAAACTTTTTAAAAACATCATTTTTATGCTTGAATAATTTAAGCTGTATTTTTTTTTCTATTAAAGATATTTTAAATTTTAAGATGACATTTTAAAGCTAAAAAATAGTATTTTTTATAATTAACATATAAGTTCAAATATTGCGTCCCATGTCTCGGCTGTTTAATATGAACAGCTAATTTATTTATTATTATTTATTAAAGACAAAATAAGACTTACAATTGACCCGTTTGGCATACGGTTTTCAAAAAAAAACTGCTTGAAATTTTGAAATTCTAGAAAATCGCATAATCCATTATATGGGGATGTTGACTTCCAAATAGAATTATGAAAATTACAGGATAATTAGTCCATACCTTGATGTTTAAATGCCTGGTAGTTTGGTTTTGTTATTTTAATCTTTAAATATTGAAATAGGTATTAAAAAGTCGTATTATTTCATTCATTTTATAAGTATATTTCTAATAATATGGCAACCCATGGGCACTGCAGTGCATGCACAAACATTTACATTATTAACATTTGAAGGGGTAAGAAGCAAAAGGATACAAGTGCATTTTAGCATGAAAATAAGTTCAGAATTGGGTAGTTTTATTGATTTGTTTTTTTTTGTTTAATTTTTTATGTGAGAATTGTATAAGTTCTGCCTGTTGATTTGGGGTTCAAAATGTAAAGTGCGCATGCCTAGGATGTCCGAACTAGTTCGGGATTAGCACCGCGAAAACACCTGCAAACAACAATATTGAAACAAGTATCCAGATTTGTCTGTAGCAAAAACTTTAAGTTACTAACTCCACTTCTCTTTTTTGCACTTATACACTTTTGCAATTTATGACATACATTTTTTGTATAAATACAAAAATATAAATAAAATATTTCTAGTTGAAATATGAATAGGATTGAGATTTATGTGATATATTAAAAGAAAAACAATAATTTACTTAATTTTTTATTAAGAAAACATTTTTTAAAAAGATGATAGTTATAAAATAACTTTTGTGGTACTTAATTATTAAATAATTACCAAAAATTGAAGCCAATAAAATATAATGCTTTAAATAATAAAAATTTTAAAAATGTAATTGCGTCAAAATTTTAATCTCGTCTTTTCCTTTTATCTCTATCATCTCTCTTTTCAGGTTCTTTCCTTTTGCTGGCCCTCTTGGCTTGACTCAAGAACTGATCAAGACCAAATGGATCCTCTTCTTTCTCAAACTGAACTGGCCCAGATCTTGCTGCTGATCTATCAGTACCACTAAATTCTTTATCAGGTACAAAACGATTAGTTTTAACAATTTTTTCCAGGTCTTCACCCCCATAAACTTCTTTGTCAACATTTTTACTTGGCCTGTATAAGTGATTTGCCATTGAACCACCCTCCCTCCAGGGTTTATCATAGACATTATAGGCTTCATCATCCCCATAACCATGACCTAAGCCTTGAGCCTGACCAAACAGTCTTTGATCAAACTGTGTTTCACTGGAAGAAGCACCTCTGGCAGGCATTCCCAAAGCAATTTGTTCAGAAATATCCCTCTCTCTTTCCCTTTGTAGCTTAGACCTCTTATCAGGTGCTGCTCTAGCCAAATTCCTATCTCTGGCTCTTTCCTTATGACGATCCTGCCTAAGCATATCACGTTCCTGCTCTTCATCATCCCCACCTCTAGAATGACCACCAGGATTGCCAACCTTAATACCAGCTCTTTCGTCACGAGCTTTCTGAGCAAGTTGACGCAAATGTTCCTCCTTTTGTTCTTTCTCTTTCTGAGCAAGTTTCTTTTCAAGCTGTGCACGCGTCTCCACAGCTTCTCTAGCTTTTCTATCAGCAATATACAACGCTTCAGCTAATTTAGCGAAATTTTCGTTGATATGAAGCTGTTGAAGACCTCTTCCATCAGCAGCCAACCTTTTGTCCAAAGGAACTGTAAAACCTTTAGCATTCTTCCAATTAGATATACAAGGAGGTATTTTCCACTCTTTTTGTTCTTTTACAGTGACTCTTCTGGTGGGGCTGTGCAGAACAGGAGCTGGAGGTGATGGAGGCCCTCTGGGTATTTTCTTGTTAATCTTAAATCTAGGAGGTTCCATGGGATCTACCTGAGCATCAACAAGACGAATTACTCTTTGCTTGGCACCTGAGTTGAAAGCAGCCCCCTGTTGTGATGGGGTGTATCTTATAAATTCTGCAGGTCCTTGTTTATCAGCACATCGAACAGGCATAGCAGCAGCTATTTTGGAGTTTGTTATCTTCATTAAGGCCTGTCTGGTACGTTCAGTGATATCATCCACTTCTTCTTGGTCAGGTTTTTCCAAAGTAGGATCATTTTCATCCATAACTTCTACTGGTAACAAATCGGACAACTTTGAGTACACTATTTTATCTTTGGCATGTCCCTGACGTGCAATAGCATCGTATTTAACTTTTCCATCAGCCCCCAATTGAACTGCCAAAGCATTGGAGGTAGATTCTTTGTTCTTGCGCCCCATTTCCAAGGGGTATTGGGCAACGTGTATTTCAGGGAAGGCCCCTCCATCTCCATAGTCAGTTACCACTCGAGGCACCCAACCTCTTCTCTGTCCATATGGTGGAGCTATACTTTGGGCACTCACCACGGCTGTAGATTTGGATAGGGCCGCTTTTTGTCTTCTATCGTCGTCACGGTCCCAAACGGGCTGAACTGGGGCTGGCAAAATGCTGGAGAGCTCCATTGTTAAAATTACCTCCAAAACACGATAATATATTTTTAGTAACTAAATGTTTATTTCGCACCTATTTTTTAACTTTTTTACTGCTCTAATAGAGATATTTTCAATGAAACATCAACAAACTTACGCGCACAAACTGTCATTGGAACAGCCATTTTTAGAAGAGCTAATGTTGCCAAATTATATTTTTTTGTCAATAAAAAAACTTCAATTTTAATTGTTAAAATACAGATATCTGCAAAATATTTTGCAATATTAAAAAATTTCTATCACCAATACCCGTCAAAAACAAATAACGCTCTTTTATTTTTGGTAATAATTGAAAATTTTAACAAATCTGACATTTATTTAAAAATCAATGTTGCCAACATAAAGAAAATATAAACATAACCTCACAATTAGAGGTAAATTATATGAGTGAGAAACGAGGTAAATAATTTGAAGAAGTTTTTAAGTAAACAAATATGCAGAACACCAGTGAAGAACAGCTTCAAATACGCCTTATTACAAAACAAGAACTGTAAGTATTAAAACTGTATGTTGCAAATCATTTATAAATTTGTTTTTTTAAAGATTTGCAGTTCCTGATGTCCCTTTATCAGTCCCTGCTATAATCGATTGTAAATCATTAAACGATCTAGTAAATCAGTTACTAAAGGAAAGCAATTCGGATTTTTTAAAGCCCAAAGACTTTGATTTTTTGGTGTTGGGAGAATTGTTGAGAGTGACTTTAGTAGAACATTTACAAGAACATAATATATCTTCGGAAACCACAGTAGATGTTGAATATTTAGAAAGAACTCCAGCACCAGAGCCTGAGGAATCTATATTACATGATGATTGGGTTTCTGGCTTACAAACAACAGATAAATGGTTAGTAAATATATTTTTTTAAAGTTTTCCTGAATTTGATTTTATTTTTAAGGATTTTGACTGGCTGCTATGACAATTCAGTAAATATATGGACAACACATGGCAAAAATATAACCTCCCAAAAAGAACATAAAAGCATAGTTAAGGCAGTTACCTGGATAGACCAAGCCAATCCCTCAAAAGGTTTTGTGAGTGTGTCACATGATTTGACAGGAATTATTTGGTCATGGGAACCAGAAAAGGACAAAATAACCCCAAAAATTGCATTAAGAGGGCATGAAAGAGGTGTTGACAGTGTTGGAGTGAGCCCAAACTCTAATAGAATAGCAACAGGTGGTTGGGATACCAATTTGAAATTGTGGTCGGCTTCTTTGGATGATGATGGTGGAGAACCTGCTCAGAAAAGATTAAAAGGATCCAGTTCCTCATCTTTATCAGTGAGAACACCCTTAAACACTCTGAAAGGTCACAAGGAAACCATTTCATCTATTAATTGGCTAGATAATAATGTTGTATGTACAGCTTCTATGGATCATACCATTAAACTATGGGATGCTGAGGTAAAATTGTTTATTGATTTATTTAACATGTGTTATATTTAATATTTTTCAGCTTTGTGGGCTTAAATCTGAAATTGTTGGTCAAAAAGCATATCTAAGTTCATCATGGTCCCCTTTGTCCAACACTCTTATAGCCAGTTCAGCAGATAGACACATCAGATTGTATGATCCCAGGTCTTCTGAAGGTTCCCTATGTAAAACAACATTTACTTCACACTCTTTGTGGGTTAGTTGTGTTACATGGTCTAAATATGACCCACATTTGTTTATGTCTGGAGGATATGACTTAGCTGTAAAGTTATGGGACACTAGAAGTCCAAAGGCTCCTCTCTACAACTTACAAGGACACCAAGGACAAGTATTGGGAGTTGATTGGTCAAATAATAAATATTTAGTTTCTGGTGGGTGTGATAATAGTGTACACATATTTAAGAACAAGCATATGCAATAAAACCGTTTTTTAAATTACCAAATAATATTTTATTTATACATCAAAAATAATAACCAACATAGTTTATCTCCAACTTGAAAATGATGATCCCCTGTAAATAAAAAATAACATCATTATGAAAATATAATATACCTATAACATAATATTATTATGTAGTATGTTTTTTATTTATGGAATTTGACATTTAAATGAATATTAAAAAATATTGTATATAAATTAATGGAGAATCAATCACATTTTAAAAAATTACTAAAAAATAGACGTACGTTTATAAAATACAGGTTTAAACAAAGTTATTTATGTATCGAGGCAGTAAAGTCGTATTTTTTATCACGAATGTGCAAAGCTGAGGCAAATAACCACGTGAGTGATAAAAAGTGACTTTAATGCCGAGGTGCATATTAAATTTTATCAGAAATCACATTTAATAATACTAAATGTCTATTCAAATCCAAGCTGGACTAAATGTAAACACAATCCTCCGAATCGACCAATAAGAGCTCACAATCCGAGTCACACCATCAGAATCGACCAATAGGAGCGAGTTATCACGCGTCTGTGCGTTTTTGTTTAGTCCAGCTTGGATTTGAATAGACATTTAGTATTATTAAATGTGATTTAATTTAATAATAATTATTAAAGTCTATTAATATTGATGATTAAAACAAATGTCATTTGATGATCAAATCAAATGTCATTTGAATGTAGGAAGTGTATACGTATACTGTTTGTTGCGACGGTTATTATAATATATTATATTTGCCCGCCGCACAGTGTTTCAATTCTCGAAAATATCGGCAAAACCTCAAAAATTTACATTTTTTTTTCAGGTAAATTTGGTATGTGTGGTATGTACGATTGTTATGCGGTTTGATGAAGGGTGATCTTCAAGGTATGTAAAACTCAGATATGTATTTGTTTTTCGTAGTTTTTGCTTGTACAACGGGTTATTGTAACCGACAAGATCAGTCTGTTAAAATCGTAAACTTTGAATCGAGCTATTAGAACAATGGAGCTACAAAAATTGTAATGAATTGTAAGGCATCAGTTTAAGATCCGTTGAATAGCTTAGAGTTTTGTCTATCAAGCCATCAATACATTATCTGCCCCAACTCGCCCCCTCTCTTTAAAACTACATGTTCTTGGGCGCTTTATTAGCAAAAAAAGTACAATTTTTTTAAGTTAGGTCTGCATAGTAACTTTTGCGTAGCCCTCTATAAATAGGTGATAGGGGGAGAAAAGAAAAGGGGAGTTTTTTTCACTTCTTGGGTCCATGTCTATTTACAGTTAAAAAAAAATAAAATTAGAGTATATGAGGTGCACTCATTGGTGGCTAATAAATGGAATTACCCTTCGTTAATATTTGAGTTACGAATACAGGTTTGAAATATGATGTAGGCACTTTTTATCATAGAATTCATTAGTGTAGACAGATTTTTTTAGCTCTTTTAGGTTAAGAGATATGACCCTATACGGACAACCAACTTGGGACACCCTGTAGTGTGTTAATGTCAAATTTGAAATGTGGTTATTTGTGTTGATAATTTTTTTTAGCGAATTAAGAAATCGTTGCTAAAATATTAAGTAAAAGAAATAATAAAAATTTAAAATACTTATTTTAAAATCTGTTTTATTTAAATTTTATAAATAAATTTTGAAATTTTCGGGTTTTTAATTAATTTCGACAATTTTTTTATAAAAATGTCCGACATTTGAGGTCCACAATTTTGAATTTTTAGCGACCACAAAAACCCCTGTATGGTGATTTTCAATTTATTCCGTCAATTTTTTGACAAATATGTCCGCCATTTTGGATCTACCATTTTGAATTTTGGAATTCTGATTCCAGATTCGTTATCAGCGACACCAAAAACCTCTATATACGGATTTTTAAGAGAATTTGAGTATTCCTTGATATTTTGCCGAAAATTTCGAGAATTGAAACACTGTGCATTGAGTAAAATCAGAATTCCAAAATTCAAAATGGTAGATCCAAAATGGCGGAGATATTTGTCAACAAATTGACGGAACAAATTGAAAATCACCATACAGGGGTTTTTGTGGTCGCTGATAATGAATCTGGAATCAGAATTCCAAAATTCAAAATGGTAGACCTCAAATGGCGGACATTTTTTTCAAATATTGTCGAAATTAATTAAAAATCCGTAAGAGGTTCTTTTTAAAATGTAATAAAACATCGTTTTATAAAATAGCTTAATTTAGTTTATTATAATTACATTTATATAATATTGTTTAATACCTACATATATATTAAACAATCTCCGTCACTGGATTCGCTCGTTGTATTATTAGCAGAGCATGGGAAACCATCAGAAGATAGCAACAGTTTTATTGCTTCGCGGGACAAAGATTTGCTCTTTTTCGGAGCAATTTTTCTGAAGCTAGAAATATACGGATCGAAAGATGCCATAAGCCAATGGAAAACATCTTTCATCATTTTCTCCCAAGAAACTTTCAAAATTTTAAATTTTTATTATTTATTTTACTTAATATTTTAGCAACGATTTCTTAATTCGATAAAAAAATTTTCAACACAAATAACCACAATTCAAATTTGACATTAACACACTACAATGCACATGCGGAGTTGTTTTAACGCACCTACAAGAGGTGGGTTAAATATGTAAAATCGGTGTTAAATATCTTAGTAGTCACGAACGATTTACGCAAGTGAAAGTCTATACACCGCTGTTGTAATAAACGTTTTGAGTTAAATCCGAGTTAATCGAGTAAACGTCATGAACGCAACCCAGAAATAAAAAAAAATCTTATAGTTTGTAATGCAAAAACAGAGATACGCGCTCGACATAGGCTTAAAATCGCGAGGTTTTTTACCACAACCGTGCCTGAGCGCCCAAGAACATGGAGTTTTAAAGAGCCGGGGGCAAGTTGGGGCAGCTAATTTATTGATGGCTTGATAGACAAAACTCTAAGCTATTCAACGGATCTTGAACTAATGCCTTACAATTCATTACAATTTTTGTAGCTCCATTCTTCTAAAAGCTCGATTCAAAGTTTGCGATTTTAACAGACCGATCTTGTCGGTTACAATAACCCGTTGTACAAGCAAAATCTACAAAAAACAAATACATATCTGAATTTTAGATACCTTGAAGATCACCCTTCATCAAACCGCATAACAATCGGACACACCAAACACAAGTTATTCACTTTTAAACAATAAACAATTTTCCGCAGCGATCGCGTGTAAAGTACCTTCAACTGAAAGCGTCAAGTTTAAACTGATGTACAAGACAAAATATACGTATTTTATATAATTTTTTTTCAATACAGGATGGAGACAGGTATTAACTACCCATCTAACTCAAAATTTACCTGAAAAAAAATGTAAATTTTTGAGGTTTTGCCGATATTTTCCAGAATTGAAACACTGTGCAATGTAGCTAATTATTAATTTAGGGTACCTAGTATTTGCCAAATAAACCCCAACATTTTTGACGTCAAATTCCTAATCAAAAAATACTACTATTGTTGTATTACTTACCCAGAAAATGAATTATTGCCCGCGTTATTAGCTGTCTGCTGAGCAAGATTTCCAAACCCAACCGTATTTTGTGTAGCCAAATTACCAAATGTAGGGCTTTGGGCCACACCACCACCACCACCTCCAAATGTAGTAGGACCAGCTATAATTATTATATTTGTATCTTCTAAATACAAAGTATTAAACTTTAAACGCTCTTCTTACCTGGTGCTTCACCTCCAAATATTTTATTGGGACTTCCAAATCCTCCTTGATTAACAGCAGCTCCAAAAGCAGGTGCTCCTCCAAAACTAGGTGGTGACCCAAAGGCTGGAGGCGAACCAAATGCCGGCGCCCCTCCAAAGGCGGGTTTTTGGAATGCTGGGGGGGTTCCAAACGCCCCTGTTGTCGCGCCAGCATTTCCGCCACCGCTAAACGGTCCAGCCGGTTGAGGGCTTCCGAAAGCCCCTGCGGTGGCCCCGCCACTGAACGGTCCTGCTTGTGGTGTTGAAAATGCACCACCTCCTGCTTGGGAGAAGGAACCTGTAGCACCGCCTCCAAAAGTAGTGGCTCCAAAGGCAGTACCTGTTGAGCCACCAAAGACTGATGCAGAGCTGGATTGCGTGCCGCCTCCAAATATAGAGCTGGATGAGGCAGCCGGGCTTCCAAATATGCTACCTCCGCTGCTCACCGTCGTGGCAGCTCTTCCAAAGGGATTGGCTTGTTGGGAACCAAATGCAGAACCGCCGCCAAAGACATTTGTGTTGGAGGTCGGTGTACTGTTAGCGCCGACGTTCAACCCTCCAAAACCAAACGCACCACTTGCAGGTTGTTGACTATTACCATCCGATGCAAAACTAAAGGATGAAGATTGAGTTGTTGGAGTCCCAAATGTATTGGCTTGCGAGCCAAATACAGACTGAGTGGGCGCTGGGGTTCCAAAAATCGAACCACCACCAAATGTTGAGCTTGTAGTGGGAGTACCGCCGAACACACTGGCTGAACTAGTTTGCGCACCGCCAAATATAGATTGATTACCACCTCCAAATGAAGCTGCTGGTTGACCAAAAGCGCTAGTGGTGTTAACTGGAGAACCAAACACGCTCGGACTACCAAATACCGAAGTTGTTTTCGGAGTACCAAATACAGGAGGTTGTTGTTGTGCGGGCTGGCCAAAAGGCGAAGCCGGTGCTGTTCCAAAGGCGGGAGCCGAAGTTGTTACAGCTCCGAATATGGACTGAGTGGTCGAGGTAGTAGCCGCTGCTGTACCAAACACTGTTGTACTGCTGGTGGTGGCTGGGGATCCAAATATTGAACCGGAGGTGGTAGAGGGTGCAGCACCAAAGGCAGGCTGGGAAGTTGTTGATGCGCCGAAAACAGAAGGAGTAGGAGTACTTGTAGAGGGTGTGGAACCAAAGATGGATGGTGTAGTGGTAGCCAGTTGGGCAGCACCGAAGATGGAACTTCCTGTAGTTGACGGAGTCGAGGTGACAGCTTGTGCTAAACCAAATATGGAACCAGTTGTTGTTGCTGCAGTCGGCGATGTCTGAGCCAAACTAAATCCTGTGCTTGTGGTAGCTGGAGTAGACGCCGGAGCTTCAAATAGAGATCCAGTAGATGCGGAAGCTGTTGCAGCTGGCGTTCCGCCAAATATTGGAGTTGCAGTAGAAGTTACTGCCCCGAAAATGGTTGTAGACTTTGTCCCAAATACACTAGCAGATGTGTTTGGAGTAGAAGTAGTAGTATCAAAGGGCTTCAAAGCAGGTAATGCTGATGATAAAGCAGATGGAGTAGATACCTCAGTGGCAACCGAAATAGGATCTGCAGTAATGGCGACTGTAGTTGATATAGTAGAAGGCGCAGCTGTTGCGGAAGTGGTAGCAGTTTTAGCCAAACCGAAAAATGTAGCTGAACTGGTTATTCCAAATGGAGTAGTGCTAGCAGTAATGCCACTTGTACTGGCTAATATTGAGGTTGAAGCTGTACTAACAACCTTAGTAGTTGTTAGAGCTAATGGAGCAGCAGTTGAAGCTAATCCAAATAATGAAGTTGTGCTGCTTGTAACAGCGGGTGCTGTTGATAATGTATCTGGAACTTTTAAAATTACGGTGGTTGTTGGTATTGTAGAAGTACTAGATACGGTCGAGCTTGCAGTAGCACCGAACATACTGGGAGCTGAACTTGACGATAAAGAGCCACTACCAAAACTGAACGTCGTACTACTGCCTCCAGAACCAAATATTGGTGCTGAAGATGTTATTTGTGCAACAAATGGAGAAGATGCACTAGTTTTTATTCCTAGTATGGGGGTTTTGTGTTCTGTTGACGCAACCTCAGAAGTTGAAAATCCAAATAGAGGATTACTTGCTTCAGTACTTGCAGTTGTTGAAGGAGTAATACTAGGTTTTGTAACTGTAGGAGTAACAAAAGAGAATTTGGTGGTGGCCCCTGTACTGGTGGCTATTGGTTGAACCACATTTTTATTAGGAGGTGCAAACGCTGAGAAAATCGGTTTTATAGTGGTGGATCCTTCCGATGTTACAGAAGTACTAGAAGAGCCTAAACTTATAGATGACGTTGAAGATGCCAGTTTTGATTCTTGTTGACCCTCTGTACTACTGACCATACTGAAAGCAGATTTTCCAGACGTAATCGACGTCGCAGAAGTAACTTTTGCAATACCTGGTAAGGAACCGAACATTGATGGTTGTGACAATTTAGGTTCTGCATTGGGTGTTATATTTAACTGAGGCTTCGCTGAAGTCATTGATACTGCAGTTGGGGTTGATTTTAGTGTTCCGAACATGCTGAACGTTGGTTGTGAGGAAGTTTTAACGTTAGGATTAACGAAAGTGGTCTTGTTTTCTACCGGTGTGTCGCCACCCCATGTGGTGATGCTTAGTATTGCAGGTTGCGAAGTGCTTTTCGCCACGCCTGGCTTACTTATGGCAGCAGGGGCAAATTCGATGGTGGTCTTGGGTTTAACGGGGGCAAAAGCATTGGAAGCTTGAGTAGTGGGAACAAAAGCAGAAGTGGTTTTAGATACAGGTTGAAACGCGCTTGTCGGAGTATTTAAGAATGGAAAACTTTGTGGCCCACCTAAATTTGGGGTGTTTGGTGGCACGCCAATTTGGAATATGTCTTTCTTTGGTGTAGACTGAATGAACTCCAAATTTCTTGGTATTGGTTTTGGCACTGGCGACATTTGAGCCCCCAAAATTGATAATCTTGCCCTGCTTTTTCCCAATGGTGTTTGTTGCAATAATGAGGTATTTAATTGGGGCTTTATTACAGAAACGTGTGACACATCTCTTTTCTTTAGGAAACTTCTTATTCTGTTAGATTTCTCCAAAGACAACTGCTTCTTTCTCTTTAAAATATTTTCGTATTGAAGCTGAATTAAATCTTTATTTTCTATATTAAGCTTTTGGAATTCATCTTCAATATCCAAATTTTCTATGGCCAAAAGAAGCGAAGGGGTGGTAGATGTACGATATTTAAACTTCATCCTTGCGGAGATATCTTTGATGATATAAGACTGCTTTTGTAGGATGGCATTTTGTCTCACCATAGACTGAAATATGGCCTCCATAGTGGGCATTTTTGTGCGATGAGTCTTCTTAGCGTAATCTTGAAATTTATCCCATTGTTCATCCAAAGCCCTACTAGCTTGACCTAGTTGGGAGTCCAGGTAGCACATATGCTTGTTCATATCTTTTAATATTTTTTCCGAAGCAGAATCGAGGGGTTGCGCTCTTAGAAGAACGTTCATTGTTTCGTCTTTGGCGATGTTGAATCTGGATCTGGCTTCCTCATACCAAGCCCATGATTGCACTAAATTCTGCTTTAAATAGTGGATCTCGGCGTTTTGAGTGCTGCCTATTTCAGAGAGTTCGTTGGCGAATTCTTCTAACGACTCAATTTTGTCTAGGATGTCGGTTTTTTCAGCGTCAGTACCAGGATTTAGTTTAACGTTACGGCCTGCTTCCAGTATAAGACACAGTTCTGCTTGCAAACGGTGACATTCTTCTTTTATCATAATGGCTAGCTGAGCGTCAGTTTCGGCCTTGGCTTTGGCATCTAGAACAGTATCGGGGACCGATTTTATTTCGGGTTCGGGTTTTTTCAAAGTCGCAGCTGCTACTGGTTGGGGTGCTGGTGTAGTTGGTTGTGCCATTGTACTTTTAGCTGGATCTTGAGTCAGTATGGTGACAGTAGCTGTAGGAACGGACGTCGGAAGAGCGGTCGGGGGTGTTTGAATTGAAGAAAATATGGTTGAATACTTTGGAGTAGCCAAATTTTGAGCAGCAGCTGGTGGTTTCGATTCCGATTTTGGCGCCATTGTGGGTTGTTGTGGTTTAATTGGGGTAATGGTAGCTTGTCCCCCGAACAAATTCATCGCTGGCGTGGTTGGCGTACCTCCAAAAGTAAGCTTTTGAGTGTTTGGTTGCTGGAGCGTTCCAAACATAGGTGCTGCTGGTTTTTGTAAAGCAGTTCCAAATAAACCAGGTTGTTGCGGGTGAGCTTCAACTGGTGTTTCTGGTTTGGGCGCATTACCAAAAGAAAAAGTTGACTTTGGAGGTTCAACTTTTGGTTGTTGTGGTGGTTCCTGAGGTTTATGGGTTGCTACAGGGGCAGGCTTAAAAAACTGTGATAATCCTGAATTGTCTTGTATAGCATCAGGTGGCGTACAAATGGTGGGCAATCCTTGCTTTAAATTTATCACATCAAACATGCATAAAACACCTTGATGTGAGAGGACCAGCAGTATGGGAGTTGCAGGTATAAACCCTTCACCCCATGGTAGTTGTTTTGTGGAACTGTAATCCAAAGCAAGACCAATAGGTAGAGTGTCTTGATGGTCAGCACTAAGAGGTAATTCAGCTCTTCCTGTGTCACTTAAAATCCACTGGGTCCACAAATCCCCTGTGCTAGAAATTACACCCACTTCTGTGCTATTTGATGAAGCTACCATCAAAAGGTTCCTAAAAATAATTATTTAAAAGGTGGTTTCTTAATAAATTGCACACCTTTAAGACACAAAAATAGGCCTTTAGGTGCATCTTTGGGGTGTTTAGTACAAAAGGTGATTTTAGAAATGAAGATGAAGATTTTTGCACCTGCACGAATCCATTTTGTTAAAAAATATTACTTAGCATTGTGTTTTTCCTATTTTTTTCACATGAAAAATTAGATGCCCAAATGGTATTTGACAAGACTATTTCATGAGTAACAGTTAACAATTAAAATATAAATTGCAATTTTTGGTGACAACAGCTGTCAAGTTTTGCCGCGGGTAAACTCGAAAAAACTGCTGACAGGTGCTGTCATACAGTTTTTTCACTTAGAAATCATTTGTAATTCAAAATTGCGCGTTTGCGATCGGTGGAAATTAAGACGAGGGAAATAGTCACCTAAATAGTAGTTTTATCGCTGCAAAACTGAAAAAACCACTCATTTTCTGAAATCTAATTGGTCCATAAAGTTATGAGTGGAATAGTTGCTGCAAAATTGAAAAAAACACTCCTTTTCTGAAATCTGATTGGTCCATAAAGTAATGAGTGGAATATTCAGCAATAAAAAAGTTTAAAAATTAGGGGTATTAAAAAAATATCTAGCTGGTTAAAATAAAAGTTTTTTGACAAAAATAAAATGCGAAAATTAAAAAAATATTGAGTTCCTGAAAAAAGTTAATTTTACAGTAACCTTTTATACAATTATTACTTCATTTAAAAACCATGTTATTTCATCAGAATAAAAATTATGGTAATACATATTATGAAAATGTAGTTTTCCTAATTACATGGTGGTTTAAAACTTACCATGGAGCAAGCTGGAAATTCATAAAATATTGAATGCCTCTGTTACTACCATTACTATAACAAATATCATCATAGTTTGTAAAAGTTGGCTCTCCAGTTTTGGGGGCATCAATCACAATAAGTGATATCTGAAATTCTTGATTAACAGCATAAAAAACACCAATAAACTGATAATTTGACACCCATTGCAAGGAACACAATGAATAAACCCCCTGAAGTGGTGGAGCATTTATAGCTTTTACAGCTTTCAAGTCAGGTTTGTATTGTGTAATTCTGCCATCCTTGGATCCCACAGCAATTTGCTTTCCTTTGGGGCTCCAGCAAAAGCAGCAAGTCCCTGCACCTGCTGGTAATTCATTCCCAGTAACATTTCCACCATTAATGTCCACAAGAATTAAAGACCCATCATTTTTACAAGCTGTAAATATTAGTGGTAAAGATGGATTCCAACTCAAGTCGACTATCTTAGCAGGTGATTGAGACAGTTTAAAGTCTTTTATGAGAGCGACATTTTGCTTCAAAAATGAAAGTACATCATAAAACAGTACAATCGGTAGATTGTTCAATTCAACAACAACTGCTAAAATTGTGTTATCACAATTTACAGACAGATGTTTTGGGGGTGCTGGTAAATTCACCACTCTTCTGGGATAGTCTAATATGTCCTTATCTTTAGGGCTATATTCTTCTGCGCATTTTAGTTGAAATACTAAAAAATGAACAAATTAAAAATGTTTTAACTATAAACTTTATATTTACCTTGAAGAGATGATGTGGTTGTGCCAATAAATAACAACCCATATCGACTGGCACAAGTAACTAAATTGACAGGATTCTTGAAAGGTTCATGCGATGTATTTTCAAAAACTTTTAAGCGGCAATGGAGTTTAAACTGTAGGTCCTGAAAAGCGTATATTTAAATTTATAAAGATTTTTTAGTGTTTTATCGGTATTACTTGAACATCGATGGGATCTGGCGAATTCTTCATTGTAACGGCTTTATTTATTAGTTGATAAACATAGTTCAAATTTAAATATATCTCAAGTCAATTGACAACAACAATCTAACCTAAAAATTGCAAAGCGGACAGAGATAAAATCGTACACTGTTAAATCGGCTGAGAAAGAGCGCGCATTTTAAACGACATAATTTGCAAGTTTTGGGAATTTACTATGGTAAATTAGGTAAAATCTTGTTACCTTCTTGGAGATACGAGGTGTAATTTTAAAAGACATAATTTGCAAGTTTTGGGAATTTACTATGGTAAATTAGGTAAAATCTTGTTACCTTCTTGGAGATACGAGGTGTAATTTTAAATCAATTGTAAAATAAATTTTAGAAAATTGTTAAAACAAGTTAATGTTTACAGTTTACAATATCAGAGCTAAACAAAAATTTTGGACATGTACTGTTCTGAATCTCACAGATTCAATTATAATTATTATGCATGCATGAACTCTATTCTAATATAATATTAGATTAGTATACTTTATAGGTATTTAATTTTTTTTAAGAAAACAATGGCTTTTGGCAAAAATTTGTATTATTAGATACTTATAAAATTAATATATAAATTAAAGTCTTAACATTATAAAATAACTTAATTATTTAGTTTTTATACAAATCTATTTAAAGAGAATACAGTTTTTGAAGGACGAATATGAGCCACCAGCTGTTTTAAATGCTATTATCCCAGTTAAAATCACCATTGCATACAAAGGAATCAGTGATGCAGAGTATACTTGGTAACGGTTGAGTAATGTGAGACATGAGCATATGATATGGGATATGACTACAAATCCCACTTGCAGCCTGTTGTTGTTGTCCCAAGCATTAAAGTAAATAACACTCCAAAACGTGTGTAAAAGTATAAAACACAAGCTTGTTGCTGCACTAGTCAAGAAAAACATTTCAGTGCCAGATTTGAGCCCCATAGTTCCTGGACCAATAGCATCTGCTGCTACATTGATAATTGAGAAAGCTCCACTTATTATTCCAAACCCTAATCCACTTACATACGCTAAAATGTGTTTGTTTTCTATTAAAGTAACACTATCGTCTGTAATTTTCTTCAAGCCATTCTCTGCTCTTCTAAGTATCTTGTATATTAAAAATCTGAAGGCTTCTTGGAACAGCACAGAAAACACCACCCCAAACACCAAATCTTTTCTTAATGGTATGACTATAAACCACCACATTGACGATAGTAGTAAGGAAAGCAGCCAGAAAAAGGCCGCAGCAATTAAAATAATTATTCTAACAGGGTCGTGGGCAATGGTTAATACAAACATGGCGAAAGGGGGCCCGAAGGCCAAAAACGTACAACCAAAAAATTCTACTACCGTCATTTTATTGTCTACATTTATGTTTCCAAAATTAAAAAAGTAAACTCTCAGGAAATTGGCATTTTACTATTGTGACTAATTTCAGATCCCACACACCAAGCACACCAACATCACAAAAACAAAACATGATAAAAATGAATCCAAATTAAAAGAAAAAATCCTGAAAAATGCTTGAATATGCTTTGTAAACATTAGTTTTAATATTTTAAATATGTTTATTTAATTGAAAACAACCTTATCTCGTAATTTAAAACATAAATTTCTTTCGTTAGGTTGGACACTTGGTTTAGGGCGGTGACAGCTGTCAAGTTGGTGAGGTTATGCTAGAATTTTAAAAAAATTTAAAGGACAATGGTAATTATCTATTAATTGTTTTCATCGTGTTTAATTGTTATTGTTTTAGTCTGGGAACGTAAACATTTGTGATGTCACCGAGGAAGTTAGACAAGCAATGAAGGAATTCCGTTTTAGAAAGGCTAAGGATACAGCAGCCCTAATTTGTATGTTTTTAAATACTATTTATTAAAGGGTCGATTAAATTGTTAATTTTTGTTTAAAGAATGCAAGTTGTAATTTAGAAAAATAAGATATTCTGTATCCTGTAAATTAACTATATAAATTTTGTTAAACAGCCTATAGGTCCTAGACTCTATGAGTATGGCTGGCTCCAAAGCACAGATTACGTCTATGTTTACAAGCCTTTATTGACTTAAAAACAAAACTTTTATAACTATGAAGTAATAGTTATTTACCTAACTAGTCAGAAAGTTCTACTTTTCCGAACATGCCTGCCATTACATGCAAGAGTGCGGAAAATTGCTTCTTCCGCACGTATTAACTGTCAAGCGTGCGGAAAAGTGCAACTTTTCGCACGTTTCTGGAAAATAATATTCAGGCCTAAATCCTTGGATTCTAGGCTTGATAAAAATAATGATTTTAAAAACTTGATAATTTAAAAAAATAATTTCAATTTTGCCTTGCATCTTGATCATAATGAGTTTAATTATTTTTTATTTTATTGACAAATTAAAATAAAAATCAAACACTTTTTAAACCCTTATAACTCAAAAACTAAAATGACCCTTAAGAAGGATATAAAACAAATATCTAATAAAGTAATTTAATTTAATTTTTTTATATTGTTTATCAAAATGTAATATTTATTATACTTAAATATTCAATAACTTTAGCTTAAAAAATACCTTTTTTTTAAATGTGTTAATCATTGCAAACCTTTAACTCATCCACCATGGCCTAATTTAAACACAGAAATTTTTGTAAAATTTAATTGTTTTGATAGCAACCATTATTAGAAATGAAATATTTCTGCTTATTAGACAAAGCTTTTCTGAGTTATTTAAACTTAAAGGCGTAATTTTTTGTTTTTAAGATAATTTTCATTATGATTTTTTATTTTTTTTAGTGAAGGTAGATCGGGAGACACAGAAAATAATCTTGGATGAACAATTGGAGGATATTTCAATAGAGGATTTACAGGAAGCTTTACCTGGCCATCAGCCTCGCTACATTGTTTTGTCATACAAACAAGAGCATAACGATGGTCGCGTTTCATACCCACTGTGCTTTATTTACTTTACTCCAAGAGACAGCCATGCAGAACTACAAATAATGTATGCAGGATCTAAGATTGCCCTACAAAAGGAAGCAGATTTGTCAAGAGCATTTGAAATTCGCGAATTAGAAGACTTGACTGAAGAATGGTTGTTACAAAAACTTGGTAACAATTAAATAATTAATTAGTTAAAGTAGCACAGCATTCCATTTAATATTTTTAGAGAATTTTATACAGTTTGAATTTGCCAAATTTATACATTTTTTTTCATATAACAATGTTAAGTATAGGTTCCTGAATAAGTACAATTTTTGATTAAAATTTTGCCATGTGTATTTGTAAGTAGAATAAGTTTTTACAAAAAACAATTTATTACAACTTGGTTCAAAAATTGTTATGTTTTTATATTTTATAAAAGTATTTATTCAATTATAAAAATGTTTATTTAAGTTGTTAAGATTATTATTTATAATGTTTATTGATACATTAATCTATTTGACAAATACTTAAGGAATGTACCTACCCAATATTTAAATACTCCTATTAATCTTGCCTAATGAAATCTCCTTAAGCAGTTGTATGAATTCATAAAACTACCGAATATTTTTTATACTTATTTTATACTTTTATAGCATAAATCAAATAAAACAAAAATTATTAAAAAAAAACTTTATTATGTAATTATTTACATGCTTTACACACAATGAAATGTTTACATCTGAAAGTTATTTGGAAGTTTTACAAACAATTTACAACAAAACTTGTAATGTGATTCAAGAAGAAAAACAATAAATAAATTATCTTACAACAGTAAAAGGGTTTTCAGTTCTTTTTATTATGCTTTTAGTTACTTTTTTTAACCAAGACAGAGATGGCATAATATTAAAAACCGAAATCCCTTGCTTTTTACTAAAAAAACTACTTCAACATTGTTCTTCAAGGGCCCTCACAAGTCATTTTAGTTGGAAATCAATGAGTAAATCATTCTGCAACAGATATATTTTAATTAGGGATTTCGGTTCTTAATTAAAAACATTTTAATTATAAATAAAAAAATTTAGTCCAAATATAATTTTTTACTTTGTTGCTGTGTTTTAAGCACACAAAAAACTAACCAAAATATATTAAATAATTTTAGACAAAATACAAATCAATCCAATACAATTTTGGTTTGTGCTTTAATGACTTCCAAAATCATAATTTGATGACTTCTTTAGAATGCCAATAATATTTTAAATATCACATAAAAGTTATATTGTTTAGAAGCAATATTAGTCTTACTTCAAGTAAAATTATTGATTAACAAATTCTGCTTAAGTAATTATTTATATAAGTATAAAATACTTTCAACGTTTAGTCAATTAAAACCTTAGGATCATGTATGGTCATTTTCTAAAGCTATTACATACCCATATAAGTAATAGAAGAATGACAATAAGTAGAAAGCCAACTTGATCCAACCCTCACGTTGACATCTTGTTAATGTATCAGCATTCATTATGCTGGTAGGGTCATATATTCCAGTGCCTGACATCACAGGCCTTGTTTTGTATCTGTATATGTGATAGGCAATCAGGGGAATATTTAAGATAAGTGAAAACCATTCTCCAGAAACTGCAAAAAGTATGTTGAACAATAAATGAAGCAGATATTCTGGTAAAACCAACTGAAAAATAAATTAAAAATTAAAATTTTATAGTATATGGGAAATAGGATATAATTAACAGTTGAGTAATTTTAAGTATTTACCTATGCAAAACAAATTAAGTACAAAAAAAATACTTTTTTTGCCAATATTTAATGTTAGTACTAAGTTAGTGCTTTTTAGTAAGGACACCAAAAAAATTTTAACATACAGCATAAGAAATGATTTACTTTCTTTGATCTTAACAGACAAAAACATAGTCTTTTCATTAAGATTTAAAATAAATTTAACACATTAGTACACGACCCAAACAAATTATCACACAAGAAACCCCATGATCTCATTCATAAAACAGTTATGCATCAAAAAATCATTACACTTACCGGGTTCAAACTATTGCATTGTTCTATCGGATTTTTGTAGTCAGTTTTTAATTCGTCGAACGCGATTACGTGAAAAAGTGAGAAAAATATAAGAAAGGCGTCGACAATTAAAGCAATAATATACGAAAATGCAGATAAGTTGAACGCCATGTTTACAATATTTTTGCAGATGTCACTTTGATAAATTAATTTTTTAAGGTTATAACAGGGACGCCATTCCCACAAAATTAAAAACCCCATAGATGTGTGTTCGCATAGAAATATTTCTATGTGTGTTCGGATCTATTTATGTGGTTCGCATAGTCACAAATTATTATTTAGTATTATTTCTTATGAAAAAGTGCAATCAGATTTTTAAAATTTCTGGAAAATTGAGCTGGCGAAAAAAAACCGGATTTTTTTTTCAGACAAAAATTGTGAGATTTACAAAAACATTAACTTTGCATTTTTCCTTATTATCCATAAGATGTCGTATGTCGTGATAGGTATATATGACCCCATATGTTTATCTCTGCCCCATATATATATACTTATATACCCTTATACCTTATATATATATAAGGTATAAGGGTAAATAAGTATATATATATGGGGCAGAGATAAACATATGGGGTCATATACCCAGATAGCACAAGATGTCCTGAGGACATCCGGTGTAAGTCCTTTACAGACGGTCGCGACCAGATAACCGATGGACGTCCTGAGGCCTAGGCCGATGGACATCCTGAGGCCTAGGCCTCAGTACGTCCATCGGTTTTCTGCCTGCGACGATAGTTGAAGATACAAGGAGTATTTTTAATAAAAAACAAGGTATAATTTTTTTTCACTTAGACCCTTTATAAACAGGGACCCGGACCGGACCGTTTTTGGACAGAAAACCGGACCGAAACCGATATATATTTGTGGACCGGAACCGTAACCGAACCCATATTATTTTTAAATGCAAGTCTAGAGACCGAACCGAAACCCTTTAAATTTAAAACGGTTTTTTAGGTTATTTTCGGTTTTTTTCTTAAATTCTTTTTGCAAAAATTTAAAAAAAAATTTTTTTAACCAAATAATTTTTGATTATTTTGGCAACAATGCAAAACAACTATGACTAACATCATGTCAATGACATGTTAGTGAAATTGCCTACAGATGGCAGCATCGAAGTATGTGAAAAATGTCCATACAAGTAATTGAAAGACGCGCCATTTTGTAAGAAATGAACGACCATCTTTTATATGTATGTGCTTCTTTGGGGTTTTCTAAGCCATTCTCTATGTTCAAACTTGGTTAAAATGGGACGAAAAACAACTAACCCAGCCCATCAAAAAGAAGAACAAAAGCTCTAAGTTTAGTTTTTTTTATTTTTATATAACTTATTTTAATTATAAATTTTCTAGTTTCTCAATCACAAGATCAGAAGAAAAAAATAAAGAAAGCCAGCCGATCGATAATAAAAATAAAGAAGAGAATGAAGACCCTAAAATTAGAGAACCTCATTTAAAAAATAAGAAGGGACAAAGTAATACTTTATTTAATTACTTGCAAAAAGAAAATAAAAAAAATTAATAAACTTTTCATTTTATAATTTAAGTACTTATTTACACCTAGTAAAAAAATTGGAACCGAAAAAAACCGTATGGACCGAAAAGATTGGTCCGGACCGGACCGAAATATTTTTTTTGGAACCGTAACTGAACCTGAACCGAAATTTGTCATTTCTCTCGGAACCGGAACCGGACCGGAACCGTTATTTCATTTGGGTCCGGGTCCCTGTTTATAAAGGCCCAAATAGCACACGACCTCCCAAGGACATCCTGATTGGGTCTGTCCGGGCCAGTTTAGGATATCCCATTTCTGACGTACCTTGGACGTCCATGGGACGTCCTGAAATTAAATTGGGTATAGTATATTGGGTATCCCATTTCTGACGTACCTTGGACGTCCATAGGACGTCATAGAATTAAAATGGAAATAGTATACCATATATATATATATATATATATATTGGATATCTTTATGCCGTCTTTCCAAAAGGCAAAAAATGTATAGCATTTGCATCATCTGTCACCTGTCTAATGATGCAAAGTGACAGATATCTGTCACCTGTCATATCATATGACTCATATGATGCAAGGCGACAAATATCTGTCACCTTTCATAATCTGCCACCTGTCATTTTCTTATCTGTCATTTGCCACCTTCATTTGTCACCTGTAATCAGAGCTGCAAGCTCTCAGAAAACTTAAATCGTTTTTTTGATTTAAATCGTTTTAATGACTTAAGTCATTTGGTAATAAGTCATTTCTCTAAAACTGACTTAAGACTTAAAATTTAAGTAATTTTTAAAATGATTTGTGACTTAAATATTTTTTTCAAAATAGAAAAAACTTAAGTCATTTATAAATCAGTACATACGATTTAAGTCAGATAGAAACGATTTAAGTCAAAAAAAGATTTAAGTCTTTTTAGAAAATATTTAAGTCAGATTTTTCATATATTTTTTTATAAATTTTTAACAGCGGCATTTTCTTTTGAACTGCCAGGGGTTCAAGAAAAAACTTAAGTCATTTATAAATCAGTACATACGATTTAAGTCAGATAGAAACGATTTAAGTCAAAAAAAGATTTAAGTCTTTTTAGAAAATATTTAAGTCAGATTTTTCATATATTTTTTTATAAATTTTTAACAGCGGCATTTTCTTTTGAACTGCCAGGGGTTCACTTTAATTTCCTACCTACAATTGCTACCGCTAGTGGATAAAAAAACCGCTAGTGGATAAAAAAACCGCCGCGGTAAAGTTAGCTTTTTGGAACCGTTTGACGGCTACATTAAAAAATGTCCTGTCTAAAATGAATAAAAAAAAGTGGGGATTAATAATTTTGTTTGCCAACATTCGTTATGTTCGTGCGTAGTTATGTCTAATTTGTGATTATTAGTGCAAAGTGAAAACAATCTGAGCGGTCGTGAATCGAGAGTTTGGAACTTCCCATCATTACTCCCTTAAGGGAGGAATATTGTTTTTCTAGATGGATGTTGAACCAGCTAACAAAAGTAACAAAACAACAAGTTATCAGTTTTTGAAATACAGCGATTTTAAGAAAAATGCTTCAACTTTTATCTATTTTAACAGAGTTTGAATCCATTACCGTTTAGAAGTTACCCATTTATGTATATAAAAAAGTAGCCTCCCTGTATGTCTACTCTACTAAAAAAGGAGGTTTAAGTTTTTATTTTTATTGTCTAATATATACTCAAAAAATGTGTTTTAAGTTTTCATTTAGTTTGTAAGTGTTCTGAAAATAAATCGTTTTAAATTCTTAACATAGTGGTTTATTATCATCTGTATCTACAATAGATTAATAATATCAGTATCATTAATACCATAAAATTATTATTAACATTTAAAAAATCGTTGTATTGTAATTATTTTATTTAAATCACAATTTTTGATTCAAGTCATTTTATTGACTTAACTCTTAGATCACGATTTAAATAAAAAATATAGACTTAAGTCATAAAAACGACTTACTAAAGGAATTAAGTCATAAGATGACTTAAATCACTTTATATTGATTTAAGAATTTGCGAAAATGACTTGACTTAAAAGAAAATGATTTAATTCAAAGACTTAATACTTAAATCATTTGAACTTTATCTTAGAATTGACTTAAGATTTAAATCATTTTGATTTTAGAATTGACTTAAGACTTAAGATTTAAGTCTTTTTAAAACTGACTTGTTGCAGCTCTGCCTGTAATATTATACAAGGCGGCAGATATCTGTCACTTTCCATCACCTGTCATTTGTCACCTATCATTTGTCACCTATCATACCTGTCATTTGTCACCTGTCATACCTGTCATTTGTCACCTGTCATACCTGTCATTTCTCACCTGTCATTTGTTACCTGTCATTTATCGTCCTGCATAACTTTGCTTTCTGCGCATAATATCATATTTGAATTTGAATACGGCTGGTTTCGACTGTACTGCCACCGTTTTGTACCGATCGTTACTCGAAGTGCTCCAAAAGTTACCGAATTTGCCAACTGCCCAGACCCAGAGAGCCATATCAGGTTAAAACATGGCCAAGAATTGCCCATTACCTTTGGAAAAGTTTTGCCAATAAATGTACTATGTAGGACTGTATATTCCTATGGTATTTGTGCAATCGCGATGGCCAACAATAAATGACCAAATTGTGCCCAATAATATGCCAAAGCAGTTTGGATAAATTAGGTAGGTTACCGTTGGTTTAATTTTGGGAATGTTTGGGCATGGAAAAACGATGACAAATTTTTGATGTTTATTTGGGCAATTAGGCTTTTGAAAAATTGACCAAATATTGGTAAATATTTGGACAAATCCAAAGTATTAACAAATATTATTATTATATTTGAAAATTGGGTAAATAAAAAAATTTGTATTTATATTTTTTAATAATAAAAAAATAAAACAGTATGTTTCAATACTGGAACAGTGGTCAAAAATAATATTAAAAAAAACAAATGTATAAATAAAAAATATTTAAAATAATCAAAATTGGAAAAAAATATTGTTTTTTTATGTTGAATCCCAAGCAGTGATTTAATTGTTTTTTTGCAATAAGGCTTTTTTTATTTCGGACCCGTTGCTTCGCGTTGTTTAAGGCCACGTCAAAGGACCTCTAGAATTCTAAAGCCCCTGGAGGAGGAAATTTATCATGTTCATGTAAACTCTCTAAAAAATACTTTAAGTAACAAAATTGTCTAGGAAATAATATTAAAATATAAAACATACGGTGAATGGCTTGTACGATTTTTGTTTTGGACACTCCAACACCAGCACGTCCAGTGCGCGTTATTTTGGAAGAAACTTCATCTGAGAAGGCTTCTTTGACAATTAAATTCACGCTGCCTACGACGTCATCGTCAGCGACAAATTTAAAGTAGCTAACCTATAACATAACAATATAAAAACACAAGTCTTCCCAGATAGCACAAGATGTCCTGAGGACATCCGGTTTAAATCCTTTACAGACGGTCGCGACCAGAAAACCGATGGACGTCCTGAGGCCTAGGCCTATGGACGTCCTAAGGCCTAGGCCGATGGACATCCTGAGTACGTCCATCGGTTTTTTGCCTGCGACAATAGTTGAAGATACAAGTTGATATATCACCCTTTATAAAGGCCTTTATAAAAGGTGTTT